TCTATGTATTTTGATTTCTCAAAAAGGATAGACCGAAGGAGCGCAGGAAATGACCAATTGCCCTACAAGCTAACCTCAAGTAATGGAACATTACAAGCAACTGATCTCCTGATAGCAGAACATTACTTGATAAAACGCAGCCAACAAGACGCGATCGATGAACGGCTTCATCGCCAGTTGCAACTACGGGTAGATGAAGATGGGATCTACCGGTGCGAGGGAAGACTGACGAAAACGCAGCTGCCAAGAAGTACACAGTATCCAGTCCTCCTGCTACGCAGATCAAAGATAACTGAATCAATTATAATACATCACCACAAACGGAACGAACATACAGGGCCGGTGCACACTTTAGCAATACTACGACAGTAGTATTCGATCCCCGCAGGTCGAACAACGGTAAAAAGTGTCATAAGACGGCAGTGTATGAGCTGTCGAAAATGGGATTCCAAACCATACCAACTTTCAGCATTTCCATCCTATCCGGAAAGTAGGGTGCAGAAAGATAAACCGTTTCAGTTCGTTGGGTTCGACTACTTAGGTCCAATGTTGATAAAAACACCTCAACGAAAGGAAAAAAGATGGATTTTTGTGTATTCACGTGTTTTACGTTTCGAGCAATTCACTTGGGATTGATTTGCGACTTGATAGCGAAAAGTTTTCTCAACGAATTTCGGCGATTCATAGCGCGACGAGGAAACTCAACCGAAATAACACTAGGTAATGCACCAGCATTCAAAGTAGTCTCCGCCACGATCGATTCCGCATGGAAAAGGGCAATAAGCCACTCAGAAGTACAAACTGAAACAACGGCTAAGAACATTCAGTGGCAATTCATCACAGAAAAGGCACCATGGAAAGGTGGCGTGTATGAAAGGATGGTGGGACTGGTGAAAAATATTCTTGGAAGTATTGGAAGGGACTATCTCAACATCGAAGAAATCGCAACACTTCTGCCAGAAGTGGAGGCAATCCTGAACACAAGACCATTAACTTCTGTCAGTGAAAATTCCTTGGATGTTTTACGACCAATTGATTTTTTACTTCCAGGGATGGACGTCAATGTACCAGTATTCCGAGAAGCCGAATTGAATAGCTACTCCAAACAAACTGAATCAAGAGAAAATCTACTTCGCGCTTGGAAGAGTTCACTGCGATATTTGGACAAGTTCTGGATCTTTTGGCATCGAGAATATCTTGTCAGTTTAAGAGAACGTTATCAGTACAATCATCCAGGAATACGAACGCGACAAGCTAACACACCAAAGGTTAGAGAAACCGTGCATGTTTATGACAAAAATTATCCACGAGGATATTGGCAATTAGGGAAAATAATCGAAGTTGAAACCGGTACGGGCAATGTTGTAAAATCTGCAGTTATCAAA